AAAATCAATCCCATGACATCTAAGTCAATTTTCGTCTATCTGGTCTGGAAGTGTGTTTTTCCTGTTGAAACACTCCAAATTGCAGCACCCTGTACATATTATACATACATGATATGTAAGTAAAAATATAGGTATTGAGTTTAAAACTTCTTAAACTACTTAAATCGGTACTAAAAACAACTTAAAAACTGAACAAGTTCTGTTAAATTAAATTCCTCCTAGGGCCAGTTTCTCAATAGTAGTGACCATTTCCACCAAGCAAAAGTTAAGTGTACTTAACGTTAAATGATCCTTAGGTTAGATTTTGCTTTCCTCCACGCTTATTTTATTGTATTAAGGATCACTTAACTAAACCGTTAAAATTCTCAGCTTAAGGGCCACTTATCTTTAAGTAGAGATGTGCGCATGCGCTAACAACGTTCAGATTGTGCCATAACATAAATAAGGAGCCACAGAATTAAATTTTAAGCTGATTTTCTCCCAAACTCCACTTTTTTCGGCCACACATAGGTACATCTGTTTTTTTATTTTCGATTATGTTTTTTTTTTTTATGCTAGTGATATTAGCAGCTCTTTTTCCTTCTGTAGTTTTGTGTCCGGCTTTTTTTGGATAAACTCTCAATGTTTGTTTCTATTCCCCGACTCCACACTGCTTTAGGCACCTTCGTGTTCATTCACACACAATTAGGGTTGCCAGATAGTTGAGTTTTGAAAATAGAAGAGGCTGTATAAAATTATATGAGATTGGATAATAATATATGAGAATATTTTATGTGCTGCAAAATACCCAAATCCGAAAAAGCTCACATCTTGACAATTGTCAATTAAGTAGCTATGATTTTTATAGATTTTGGAATGTTTTCCTGGACATTTTTTTACGTAGTTGAATATTCTTCCTGATCCGTCGCCTCATTTCTTGTAACAAGTTGTGGACGAAAACTTGAATTTTTTGATGTTTAAACAAATCCCTGACCCAAAATTGTTATGTTTTTTTTTCTGTTGTTACTTCCATTTTTATTTATTATCTACAAAAGCGAAAAAGTCGGAAAAAAGTTGAAAATATTCGGATAAAAAGTGGCGGGAACTTTTTCAGCCAATTAGGCAATCCAACGACCTTTCCAAATGGCGCCTGGTTGGCAAACAATAAACAAAAAACATATATATATTTTTTTTTTGGCGGGTTTATCAATATTGTTAGTCGATTTTTATCTGACACTTTCTGTATGAGAAGCGACCCAGTGAGCAAAATTTTTCTACATTTAGGGAATAAATACGTAATTGTATCAGATCTTTGTGCCTAACAGCACACACATGTGTCGAAACCGCAACCTCTATGTGTCTTTTATGTGTGGGAAGTGGAGCACCGTGGCACAACACATTTAAGGACAAAAGTGGGAATGGTTTTGGTACTTGTGCGTTTTCTGTTAATTCTTTGATGACACATTTCCGACACATTTGCAAAACTATGTCTGCCGCAAATCCGTAATTATTTCCCACAAATCCCACAAAATTATTTTAGAAATCGCCAATGTGACTCTGCTTACACAAGTTAGGAATTATTTGTATTTTTTTATATTTAATGTTTCTTTTTAGAATAGATCTTGCAAGCCGCACCGCGCGCTGTATGCGCCTCAGCGGTTATCATAGTCTGTCTTATAAAAACTAACATGTCAGAATTGTCATTGCGATAAATCATAAATATAATCCATTATTATTGACTTTTCTCAAGCTAACAAAAGTCGATTTTCTTTGCGACGATAGCTTTTCTGTATAGTTTTTCCATACACTATTATAGAACAAAGGGGCCTTCAAATAAAAGACGTATAATAAAAATATTTTTTTAAAATGTAATTTTTCAAAAAAAAAAAAAATATATAATAATAATTTTGGTCAATAAATTTATTTATTAAGTAATATTTTTTGTTGATGCAGTAAGTTTAAATTAAATTATTGCCTAATTTTGGCGACAATGGGCGTTTTAGTGTTGCTAAGAAATTTAACCAACAAGGAAATGAAGAAAAATATGGCAGCTATACACAAAGTTACCTATTATTGCCTTATATGCGTTAATAGTCACATTTTGGGTCTTGTGTTACACGCCAACCTTCTGGTGTTACACAGTTCCTACTTTTTTCAAATAATGACACAAATACGGAATTTTGTTACACTACTACGCATTTGTGTGTTTAGTATAAATCTCAGTAACAATTGACAACACAGTTCCGAAACTGTTTCTATTTGGTGACTCGCCGTGACACGTCCTAATAACGTGTCAACCCCATTTGTGAAAAAATATCAGCAGAGGCGGTAGATGGTAGAGGTTCATGTTCCAATGTCAAACATTGTAGGGCTAGCGTTTGAAAAAAAAAATGCGAAGAATTGCAAATCCATTTTGAAAAACGTTTCTCCCAATCTTCCAAAACAGTTTAAAATTGAACCAATTCCTGAAAATTTTAGTTTAAGCTGAACATTTAGGGTACGTACCTTAGAACCGAATTTATAGTCGTTTCTTGAGGTCTGAGAAAACCTCAACGAGCAACTATATAAATTCGGCTCTTAGATATAGTTCCTGAAGTCAGTAGCTAGATGTCGGCATATTTATTAATTATTCAAGATGATTTTTTCACCCTAATAGCAAAATAATATACCACGAAATAATAATAAAGTCATCACACCCGACCTGAAACAATTTCCACTATGCGTTACAACATAATGATCATGTGTAAATAAGGGAAGAAAGTGGTGAATAATCCGTAATAAAGTTACACAGAGCCTACATGTGCCTTTTTGAATAAATCTTAGGAAAAATTTCTACTTTGTGTCGAAAAAAAGCTCACTATGTTTTGTAAAAAACAAAGTTCCTACAATGTGTTACCCCACACGTTCCACAAATAAGTATTTTGTGTCTTTGATCGACACAGACACAATCCCGGCATAGTTTTGACTCAATTCCCATTTTATGTTACCCAACAGTTTCCTTTAAGTCACAATGCCCTGGGTGTGGTAACAATTCCTACATCGTGTGCAATTACGCACAATTCCTTTTTAGTGGCAAACAGCAAACAAGCTGTGACGTCACTCGACATTTTGTGTACTATTTGACGCAAAATAAAGTCATTTTGACGTAACAGCGACGTCGCCAACAACACATTTCCGTTTTAGGAATAAAATGCTCACTGGGGAGGGGGTGAAGTATATGGAAAAAATAGGTGTGACGTCAGGTGACCATTGGCATTTTAATGTAGGGTTCCACTAGCTAACATTCTTTTCGAGTATCAGATTAAAATCGACGGACTTTACACGGGGCGAGTTCTCAAATCTGACACTGTTCTGACATCGTTGACATGTAACAACCCGTATTCTAACCTCATAAAAATTTCAAAATGCCGGCTGGTTGGCACGCTTTGGATTCCCTAATAGGAGCTCCCTTGTACCATCGGACGGTTGGATAACGGATGCATGAGACTCAGGCCTATCAAGTGTATGGTAGTGATGATATACATGGTTTCTTTTCTTTTTCTTTTTTTGATAAAAATATATGAGAAATAGTCTCATATTAAGCATGCTTATATGAGATATGAGAAACAGTTAAAATATATGAGTCTCAAATTGAAAATAGGAGGTCTGGCAACCCTACACACAATGCAGAATGCAGGATAAACTACGGATATCTAAACCTTTCCTCTATGAAATAAATCTAACCCGGACAACAGCAACAACTATTATTAATATTTATTATTATAATCTTATAATGTTATAAAAATTAGCGGGAGTGTGTCGAATGATAGATAAAATTGACACGACGTAAAAACGAAAAGGAAAAGTACCCAAATATTTCACTACAAATGCAATGTTGCCAATGCTTTACGACAGCTAAGCTTGCATCCGAAAACTCTGGTGAAACGAAATTATATTTGAGTGTCCCTCAACTTTTAAGGGCTTCATAGTTAATCAAAGCTTAGATATAGTTTGGTGGAAAGGGCCATGTTATAGCAACTGGACACGCTTACCCTGGAGTTAAAATTAACCCGGAGGTGACTCGCTATTGAGAAACCGGCCCCTAAGTGCACAAACAGACACGGACCAGCAAACGAAAGGGTTAAAAAACTGTTGTGTTACTGGAACGCAGCCTACTTTAAGCTTCGTGTTTTTGATGCCCCCATAAAACAGCAGGTGCTTGAAAAGGCAGGGGAGAGGAAAAACGAACAGTTCAGTTGTGCGAAACTCTTATGCACTGGAACACCTATAAACAGTCCAGAGCGCTCTAGAGTAGCTCAGGAGTGTTTAAAGTGCGTCACTGGAAAGCGACTCAGATCTGCTCGCCTGGGTTTGGGAGGGCGGATGGCTGATTTGTGTCATTACCATCATGTTTGTAACCATCGGGTTTGGGGGGGCTAATCTTGAGCTTGGGGGGGCTAAGCCTCCCCAGCCCCCCCCCCCTAATTGCGCCATTGATGGTTTACTTGATGATTCGGTTTATATGAAGCAACCTGAAGGTTTTGTTGTTAAGAATCAGGAAGAAAAAGTATAGAAAATTGAAAAAAATGTGCTCCAAAAAATAAAAATAAAGTTGATGATGGTCGGCCAAAGACGAAACGTCGCCTCTCACTTTCAAATCTAGCTACATAGGTAGAAAATGTGGTTATTAACAATTTATAAAAATGAATGAAAAATTAGTTTGCTTTTCTTATTGGTCTGCCCCCCCTCTCCCTAATTTTGATCCTGGGTACGCCCTTGATGCAGCAGATTCTGAGAGGGGTTGCAACTCACCTCTCTCAGAAACTACTTAAACCCTGGGGTGAGTCTCGACCCAGTGGACATGGGATGGTTGTGTTCGCGCTAATTAGTGAAAGGACCAAAATGGAGAATCTAATAGAAACATTTTGAGTTTATACTAATGGTTTAGAGACTGGGAGCGACTGTATGTACCTACAGCCTTCAGCCTGACTGAGTACAGGGCCTAAGATGTAAATGGCTATTTATTGTTTTTGAATAAAAATTTACAATAATATGACAATCAAAAACATAACAAAAATATTTGCATTGGGTTCCAAGCAAATTCCCTCGCTGTCAGTTGTTGTTGGTGTTGGTACTGTTGAATTATCATTTGGTAGTGGTTTTTCATCTTCTCGTGATTTCATAGCTTTGGCGATGCCATTAATATAATATCCAATGGAAGCAAACTGAAGTGGCTCTCCGTTGCAGTAAAGTCCAGGAATCAAGATACCAACTTGAAAATCGCCGCACATGACTGGACCGCCTTGTTGATAAGCATCGCAAAATACATTTTCCTTGTTCAAACTACAGAATTGTCCTTCATTTAACTGGATGTTGAATTGTTCTGCACAGTTTTTCGCTCCAATTAGATCCACTGTAGCGCCTTGTTTTAATCCTAAAACGGTGGCATTTTCACAAGGCATGTCTGCGAATTTGAACCGCCCAGTGTGCCACTCTGAAGGCCATGATGATTTTGATGATCTGATGTCTGAAGGTATCAATAGTTTAACAAATGTTAAAGCTGAGCGAGATTTATGTGGTACTGTTATGGTTAGGATTTGAACATCGCCATTATTCAACAGATCATGGTTTATGCTATCGCCTCTGCGCGACATGGCTGATTCTATTGCGCCACTAATTACGTTACCTAGTAGGCTTTCTAAAAACCAAATACCCATCATAAACCGCTTTCTTCGTCGTTGACGAGCCATCAGATTGGCTTCATACCTTGATGGGCTTAAAACCAATAACTTCGCTGAAGTCAAAACATGGGTAGGAGATAACAGGGTACCGACGGCTACTTTTTCTTTTGTGTCTTTTCTCACCATCTTTACCAAAAAGTTGTAATTCTGTCCTTGTTCTGAAACACTAAGATCACCTCCAAAGGAATATGCAGCAACTGCAACAAGTAAAAATACATATTTCCACATACCGATGCGCATTTTAACCTTTCTTTGAACGAACGATATAACAATTTTTGTATAAAAGCGATATTTTTATGACATGTTAGTAGTCGTTGTCAGGTATGTTGTCTTGGAAACTGTGAAATCGAGAGATTTTGTTTCTAAAAAACGATCGATATACCGATCCAAAAAAATTTGAGCGCAAAATATTAAGGAGCATTTACATTGTCTTTGATTTACAGTCACTTCTAACTTCAAGTTAAATTTGACGTTTGATATTTTATCATTAAGGCTATGGTCCGAATATAACCAAACGCTAACCAAAGTAACTGAATCGGTTGACAGATGGTTACTGAAAATTCTGGTTACTTGGGGCACAGAAAATAAAGTTCATACTGACAGAAGCCTGGTCCCGTGTATATAAAACGAGCTTCAAAAGGAAGCCCGTTACGAGAAGCGGCTTCCTGTTGGCCGGGTCAGTCATAGATGGAGCTTTAAACCGCTTCCAGTTACAGTGACTCTATTACCACAGTGGCGACAATTGCTGTCTTATTTTTGATTGGTTCTAAAATCCCATATATTTACATTGACAAAGCCGCCATCTTGTTCTCAACCTCATGTTACTTTTAAATATGAATACCGTCAAACAGGGTAACATTGGTCTTCGCGGTGAACTTTGGCCCAAATACGCATAAAATATTGGTTCTAAAATATATGCCGCAAGAAAAATCATAATTTTGTGAATGAGTGTCCGGCCGGTAGGTGGCAACATTAGTGGCAAATGCAACCTAATTTGCGGCTGTGACGTTCCCGCCTCTCACCACAGTGGCCATGATATTGTAACCTGTAAAGTTCGGCGTTTTTTTACACGTGTCAACTTTTGTTAGAATTGCGCAGTTGAAAATTAGCCGACTACGGATTTCCTGTAATTCCAATGGACTTTCGTATGGCTGTTAAAGCCTATCTGGACAAAAAAGGTGCGCGTATCCCTTTATTTAAAGACAATCTTCCCGGTTACGAGTGGACTGCATCCTTCTTTAAACGCCATGAAAACCTATCTGTACGAATAAGTTCCAATATCAAAAGGGTTTTTTTTTTTTTTTTACGGATATGCGCACTCGCAAGGAAATGTCCTATCACGCTCGAGAAGCGGCAAGTGCGCGGAAATGTCGGTGTATGTTGGTCTTGAAACGGTTCAGGTTGTAACCTGCAGGGAAAACCGTCGCAGGGAGTTTATTCCACAGCGATGCTGTTCTCCAGAGATATGAATTCTGATATTATGAGGTTCTTGGTGCCTCTAGTTTGACAGTAAATTCATGGTTACCGTCTGTTTGACGGGTTCGCCTGGTAGGTGCTACTCTCGGTGGAATCATACGTGCCAACTCTTCAGAGCATTTTCCGTGACAGTACCTGTAGAAGAGAGATAAATCGCCCACAGATCTGCGATGTTCGAGACCATCCAAGTTACGAGTAAGTGCGGGGTTATTGATCAGCTTGATAGCTCGTTTTTGCACGGTATTCAAAAGCATTAAGGTATGTTTGGGTGCTGCACTCCATATATGTGAGCAGTACTCCATAGTTGGTCGAATCTGGGCTTTGTAGAGTGTCAGCAATTGGCTTGGTGTGTACAGATGTCTTGTACGAAATAGCACCCCCAGCTTTTGGGAGGCCCTTTTAGCAATATCTGCCACGTGACTGTGCCAAGACATGTTGGTCTCTGCAGTAACCCCCAAGATGTTCAACTGACTCTGTAATGTGACAGCACTTCCAGATAGCATGATGTTTGGCTCACCGGTGCTGGTCTTTTTTGAAAACAGAGCTGCTTGGGTTTTCTGCGCGTTGAACTGTACAAGGTTTTTGTTACCCCAGTCCTCTATTATCTCCAGGTCGTTATTTATCTGCGATATTTGAGTTAGTCTAAGATGATGGAATTCACGTGCGGAAAGACCTGTGGGTGGTATGAGTGAGGAGACTACATTGCCATCGTCTGCAAAGCAATAAAGTGGATTTACTGTTTTATCTATGAGGTCATTTATGTAAATCAGGAAAAGAGTTGCCGAAAGGATTGCTCCCTGTGGCACACCAGCATTTATTTGGTAAGAGTTGGAGTTCTGGCCATCCAGTGCAACATAAATGGATCTGTCCTTTAGGTAACTTTCAAACCAAGTGCAAAGTTTCGGCGATAATCCCATTGCTTTGAGCTTGTTGAGCAGATTTTCATGCCAAACTTTGTCGAATGCTTTAGATATATCTAAGGCAATTGTTCTTGTTTCACCGCGCAACTCAATCGCTTTTTGCCATAAGTGAGTGACGTATGTAAGTAAATCGCCAGTTGACCTATATTTTCGAAATCCGTATTGCTTATCGTTGATAATTTTGTACTTTTCCAAGTACTTGGTTAGGTGATTGTTCACAACTCTTTCCATTACTTTTGATATCACCGGAAGTAGAGCAATTGGTCTATAGTTGCGAGCGCAAGTTGGTGCAAAAGAAATCAATGATTATATGGACAATTTGAGTGTCGTCCTAAAGGACATTCCGCCATCTCGAATATGGAATTACGACGGGACAAATCTCAGTGACGACCCGGGAAACAAAAAGGTGATTTGCAAAAGAGGAGCGAAATATGTAGAGAAAATTTGCAATTTCAGCAAAAGCGCAACTTCTGTAATGTTTTGTGGCAATGCAGATGGAAAATGCCTCGCTCCATATGTTGTTTATAAGGCAGAACATCTTTGGACAACGTGGGCTGAGAATAGCCCAATGCAAACTCGCTACAACCGTTCCAAAAGTGGGTGGTTCGACGGAGCTACGTTTGAAAACTGGTTCCAGTTTTATTTTTTACCAGAAGTCAGACAAGAAGATGGTCCCGTTATTCTGATAGGTGATAACTTATCTTCGCATATAAACATCACAGTTCTTCGACTCTGTGAGGAGAATAACATACGATTCGTGTGTCTTCCGCCGAATACCACTCATATAACGCAGCCCTTAGATGTGGCATTTTTTGCTCCGATGAAAAAAATTTGGCGAAACATTTTAACAGGATGGAAAGAATCTAAATCTGGTTCTAAGTTCTCAGCCATACCAAAAGATTTGTTCCCAACATAACTGAACGAATTAATGAAAAAATTGGAGGAAAACAAGACACAAAACCTAATCTCTGGATTACTTGATCGCCTGCCAGAGAATTTGACTCATGTAGATGCAGCCATGATGGGTGCAGCATTTTTGGAGCAGCTCGATGCAAAACGTTTGGAATATCTTGGAATTCACAAACCTAAACAAAGAAGGAAAAAGTTAAAGGTTCCGGCTGGAAGGAGTATAACTGCCACTGATCTTGAAGCATCAACTTCGGACATTATCCGGCCCATCAAAAGCAACTCCTGCTAAGCTCACAATAAGAAAACAACGGAAAAGTTCTTCTTCTTCTAGCTCTTCTGATAATTTGTCTGATACAGTTCATTTAGAATCAGATGGAATAAGCGACACGTTTTCTGACCTAGAGGAAGTTGACCAACCTGTTGCCCAAAACTTCAATCAAGAATTGGAGGTAAATGCTAAAGATGTGAACATTGGCGACTTCGTGCTAGTGTCATTCAATGGCAATAAATATCCTGGAAAAATTATCAGAATTTCTGAACAAGGACCGACTGTAGATTGTATGGAGAAGGGAATAAAGTTTTGGAGGTGGCCAGAGAAGAAATACGCAATTCATTACAACTGGGAAGAGATTATTAAGAAAATTGATGAGCCCAAAATGGTTTCTAAGAGAAACCAATATAAAGTTGCTGATCTTGATGATTGTGTTTAACTAGGCATCAAATGTTGAATTATAATTAATTTAATATTTTACCATTATCAATCTTCTTCAAATAAACGTTTTTGAACTTATTTCGTCTTTTTTTCTATATAATAGTCACATAACTCACAGCACAGGACCACTGCAAGCCAGATTTTTCCCGAAAGTATTTTTGACCCACTATAATTTGGTTTAACATCGACCCAAACCCGAAAACACATATAATTGCGCTACTTTTAAGGCATGGGCTTAAGTTTCCCCATTTGAGGGTAACTTTGGCCCACTTACAATTTTTTTTTGATCACTTCTAATATCAAACAGCATATTGCAGCACAAAAAAAAAACAATTAATAGGGTAAATAAGCCAGTAGTCGGCCACTTAACACCATCTTCTACTAATGATAAATTGAAAAAATATTATTCAAGAATTTAACCTAACGTTATTGTGCCATAGGTATTGTTAGGTTATGTCCTTATAGTTTCCAAAACTCAAAAACAGCATAATAGACTGTGAGATAGGTGCTGTTTAGTGGAGTCATTTTTTTTGTCTGGCATTTTGAGGGCTGAATGTGGCTACTAAGCTGATGAGAATATGAGTGAATTTAATGCCTGCCTCCCGTTCGAAAATTTGCAGAAGAAAAAAATTGATTTACATGAGGATTTTTTTTTTAATGATCTCAAATTTTTTGGCTTCTAAATAAAAGATTGACATTGATAAATAATTCACCCATAAAAAATATCACATGCTTTTCAATAGCTGAAAAAGTGGGGATGAGTGTCAACTTCCAAGAGAAAAGAAAAGAACCTTCCGCGTTTACTTTTTGTCTGGTAATCGAGAGAATGGAAGGTTTTGTTGTGAAAATATCGCTGAAAAATCGCCAGACGGTAATCCCAGTTCGAAGTCGAGTTTTCCGGCGAAACATTCTGTGGACATTTCGAACAGGTGGCAGGTATTAAAACCACCTATATTCTCATCAGCTAACTAGCCACATTCATCCCTCAAAATGCCAGACAAAAAAAAAATACTCCACTAAACAGGCCCTATCTCAGGGTCTATAAGTATGTACATAAAAATTAGAAAAAAATAAATAATGAAAATTTACAATTTGCCCAGTACTCGGCCGTCAAAAATCCAATGTCGGCCAATCGCCAACCAGTAGTCGGCCGATATATTTTATTGCAACGCCAAACTTTTTTATGTTTTAATGATAAATTTCACCAGAAATTCAGGAAATTGGGAAAATTAAACACAGAATTTATTTATTACAAAATTATTTATGCACCTAAGGGATTAATGGCCGTTTGCA